ACAGTTCAAAATAAAAAGTTATTTATAACTTTATATAATGAAATCACAAGGCAAGGTAATTTTAAAATTAGATGGACCACAACTACTATTTATAAAATATTAGTTGTGTACTAATAATACTAGTAATACTAAAACATCTAAAACTACCAAATATTTTAAAATCCGTGACAAAGACATTTGTACAAAATAGTGTACCTAATACAATAGTAGTAGAATTAAAGTATACAAGAATCTAAATTTCTATCAAAATTATAAATTGTAGAAATAATGTCGTATTTTCCAAATTTAAGGCTGCAAATAACTTTTGCTAAGACACTAGTAAGAATCGTACTTTTGGAATATTAGGAACATTAAATTTTATGGGAATGTTTCCAATAACAAATCCGAGCAATGTTTTTTTTTTTCATTAGACCATGACAATATTATTCATGTAAATGCAGAATGGGCGGATTACTAGTTTTGTTTCCTAATTTCACTATGGCAGCATCTATGGGGTTATATTTAAAAATTATTGCATTGGTATATACCTTACTTAAATGCTTAAATAATGCTTATCTCAAGAGAGTGCCTAAATGGACTATAAACAGGTTATTCACGGCATTTATACAAGTATATATTAGCAAACACAGTTCATTGAATACAAGTGACAATAAGTGTTTTGTTAAGTACACACATTAATCAATATTAATCAATATGCCTCATTAAATAGAAGAGTAATTTTATAAAATATACAGCCAGTAATAAAATGCAGGTGTACTTAAGTGAATACTTTTGTCCCAGACAATATCCTAATTAAATATTAATTGCCTCTAAGATCCATTGAATTGGCATGTGAGTATTTGTTTACTGCTATGAAACTAATAATACAAATGTATTAAACATAAAAAAACATTCAAAAATTTATTGCTTCTAAACAACATTAGTGCCCATTAATAGTACATAATCATACAGAGATCAAAAAAGATTCGAGTATTAAAAATCAAAAGTTGATAGAAAAAATATTTTTTTAGTATAACATATAACATACATCAAAATATCATTAAGAGAAGGCTTTTCATTTATGTGATTTTTACTTCTTATTTCCATAAATGAACACATTTTGGACATTTCATTTTAAGCCTAAAAACCCATGTTTTAAAATCGAGATCAACATTTAAACATAACACAAACTAAACAGAGAAAATTAATCTCAAATGTACTATTCATTTTAATTTACCCTTCCAGCATGTACAGTATATATAAGAATAGTAATTCTAACATTCATAAATGTAAAATACACCTTCAATTGAGTATAAGACGAAAAACCGAAACTAGTTTATAAATCACAGTTTTGTTGAAAATGGCATCTTCACTAATTTCAATTAGGTTCCTTAAAGGATAATGCCTACATCCGGCACATAAATAGAACAATTTTCATTTGCATGTGGTGATTGACAAGGCCCTTGCTGTAATGTAAATGGTTCCACATTAAGGCCTTTCTTCTTTGCCAAATTCATGACATACTGCTGCATTGCTTTATCACTGGAAAAATGTGATGATATTTGTTTTAAAAAGAATTTTCACAAAAGAAAATATATGTACAAGTTTACTTAATAAGTGTACTTTTATAAAATATAAAATGTATCAATAGAAAGTCGGTAGATATGAAGAACTAACACAAATCTAGGGTTGGGTTATGAATCATGTCACCCGAAATTAAGTACACTGTAAGTTTGGGGATTAAGGAGGTTCGTACCAAGCACTCTAACGCATTTTTTTTCTGCCGGAGGCGCGTTAAAAATTTAATTAGCTATTTGTTAAAATTTAAAAAACTTACGAAATGTGAAATCGAACATAATTTTGATAAATTTCAATGTTTTCGGAGATGCAAATTATAAATAAATTTAAAATGATAAAGAAAAATCACTAATGAATTAATCAACAAGCAGAATTCTCCAGTCGCATTCAGTTTAAGAGAATAAACTTGTTATATTCACTAAAAAAGTAGGCACATTTTATAAATTTAAATAAAACTGAATACACAGTACTGCCAATATGATAAATATAGGAAGCGGGCGACTTAATACTCGTCCCGTTTGTTCGATCAAATTATTTTTTAAAAATTTAATGAGTTGCTGATCCAACACAGAGCAATCAGACTCAGACAGATTTGTGGTTTTTTTTATAACCACCCATTAGTGCATCTGTTGTCAAGTCTGGTTAAGGACAACAGGCAGGAAGGGAACCCTCCCCCGAGACATTGTTATTAGATTCAATTAAATAAATAAAATAAAAAATTGCATAATATAAAAATTATGCATCTGGGCAAGTGAGGGGTGATTCACCACCCTCCCGTCACCCACCCCAGAACCCCTTACGAAGGCGACTCGTTTCAAAATTTGACCCGAAATCTATAGTAACTGTTTTGTAATAGGGGCACAACCGTTTTTTGTATAGAAATATTTTTTTACAATTTAAAATTCATGAATAAATGTTCAAATTGAATTTTCTAATATAAATTTTGGTATTTTATTTACTTACTGAGCCCTAATACAGTAGCACCATGTACAGCAAGCAATAGACATGGTTAGAAACAAGATGAATGTGAACAATGCACCATAGTCCACTAACTGTATATAATTAAAAACCATCTTGGGCTCCCTGAAAAAGTACAAAATAGAAATATGAAAAGAGAAGAATTAAGTAAAAGTTAAAAAGTCATTCGCTACCGTAACAATAAAATCAAACTACAAAATTTGTTTCCTCACCAAATTTTATAATATCGCCCCGCTAACTTCAGTAAAAAAATTTGCGAAAACATTTAGTAAATTTAATACATCAATGTATTCCTGAAGACAAATAGAAAAGTTGAAATATTTCATCCTGTTAATAAAGCCGATATAACATATCAATAATAAAACATGAACGAAACAATCAGGTCAGGTTGTGTGTTGTATTATTGTATGTATTGACTTCATGACTTGACTTGACTTCTGACTTGACAATTGACATCTCTTTTATTTCATTCATTCATTGCCATATTACTATTCCTTTGAACTTTTTTATGTTTAATTTATTTCTTGACCATAGATACAGAGTCCTTCAGATGGAATATTAAAAATATAAAATTAAAAACGATATACATATGCCGTAAATCAAGACAAAAATAAGAAAGAGTAAATTATTTTTGTTTTATTTGTGCTGAAAGACCTGGCTTTTTACCAAATTTCGTGATTCTAGGTCAACGGGAACTACCACATAGGTTTTCGACCCAAAACCTTAAGGACAAGAAAGAAACTTTACTGTGGTAGGGCCACGCAACAGTATTCACTGTTGCACGAATGGGCAAGTCCGTCCGAGTAAGTACAACGACCTCACAGAAGACCGGCGAAAAGTAGTGTTATACTTCTGCGTTTCATCTGGTGAGAGAGATAGCCACCAACAACCGGGGCCAACTTTATTTAAAGATGGCAACGCATTTGCAACCCTACAGGTGTTGCAAATGTCCATGGGCGGCGGTTTTCACTTAACATCAGGTGAACCGCCAGCTCGTTTGCCACTGTTTGCCATAAAAAAAAGAAAGAAAGAAATTTAAGATCATCGAAAATAAAAAATAAGACATCCAGGAAAAATTGAAGTACATTAAAATTATAAATATTAGGCTATCATTATTATAAATTTACTCGGCTCCTGAGGCGCCAGTTTCAGTGAATCCTATTAAACTACGAGTCGGGGAAAAAATATATATTAAAAAAACTGTACTAGTAGAATAACGATTTACACTCATGACAGAGACATGACATTAATAAAAAAGATAAAATAAAAATGCAAAGAAATGAATAGAAATTAAATAAAGAGGATACACTAGAACATTAATATAATTATGAAATGAAACGTAAAAACATAATTGTAAAATACAAATATTTAACACAACAGGGCACAAGGAAATGGCGGCGTTATACATAATTCATGTTGTGTTCTAAAATAATATATATTTGTAATTGTATTTTTAATATTTTTAAACGTGTATCTAGATTTTAGGCACCTCAAAGGAAGTGGGATGTTATTCCAACATTTATCAGCGCTGTAACAAAAAGTCGCCGTCGAGTAGTGTTTAGGGCAAAGAAGTCTATCACAGACAGTTCTGTTATGGCGTGTTGGAAATTTATTTTTTCAAAAAAAAATGCAAGGGTTTACGCGATTTAATAATCCTGAAGAATAATGTGGTAAAGTGAAGTTTGCGACTTGCCTTCATTTTCAGCCAGTTTGCCTTTTTATGTAAGGTGTTACGTGTGCTCTAGGAGAAAATGGACAGCAGAAACGAGCATAAGCATTGTGGACACGTTGAGTGAGTTTTTGAGTTCGAATTAATAGGCATTCTCCATAGACTTCAGCTCCGTAATTTGGTTTTGACAAGACTAATGTGTCACAGAGGCTTAAAATACGTAGCTTAAAAGTTAAGCAGCACGCTTAAAAAGTTGCGAATGTTATACAATATCTTTAGCCTGTAAAAACAATTACGAACTGTATTCCCGATGTGATCCTAAAAAAGAATGTCTCCATTATTAAACCAAGGTTACGTGCCTGCGATACACGTTCTATGTTTTACCACGTAAAGATATCGAGGGACTAGTTACGATTTTGTTATTTTGTGATTTCGAACCTAATATAAAAATGTTGACTTTTCAGGATTTAAAACTAAACAATTGACTTCCAGTATACGGCATAATTTGGCAATTCAAATAAGCCATTTGACAGTGATTAGTTAACTTCTACGATGACCAGTTCAGTGTTTCTGAACCCGGGCATCAGCACTTGGTTGTCTTGAATATTTTGTTCAGCCGCCTCTGCTGTTGTTTGAATAGTCTTGATGTCTCCTACAGATGTAAACTATTTACTTTTGCGTTTTGTCGATAAGTAAAGTAGTCGGAGCCCTCTTTAATTCCTTACAATTTTTATTACTAATTATATACAGTTTTATTTTACTCGCAACTTATAAAAAATTTATATTAAATTTATTATACAACATAAACGCCGGCGCCTTCAACGACTATGTTACAACTTTCAGAGGCGGGTTCTTTTGGAGTTTTCATTCTCGGTTTTTTTAGATTACAATCTCTTTTTAATTTAGCTGCCAGTGCCTCAACGTCATTTTTCAATCTGTAGTCCCTGGAAAATAAATGTGAAGAATAAAATTTTACTACAAAAATTGGTTTGAATTTCGAACACACGAGCTATTGCATCTTTTTATTCTTAACTGGGTAGACGGAGATTGCTAATGCTACTCTTTTCACCGAGCTTATTTTAATATAAAAAACCGGCCAAGTGCGAGTCGGACTCGCGCACGACGGGTTCCGTACCTATAATAAACTAAATGGTAAGTACCTAAATGTTGCCTAGTAACCACATCGCATTTGTTGTTTGGGAGCCCCTTAAATATTTTTTATTTTATTCTGTTTTTAAGTATTTCTTGTTAGAGCGGCATCAGAAATACATCATCTATGAAAATTTCAACTGTAAACTATCACGGTTCATGAGATACAGCCTGGTGATAGACGGACAAACAAACAGACAGCGGAGTCTTAGTAATAGGGTCCCATTTTACCCTTTGGGTACGGAACCCTAAAAATTATGACTCGTTTGAGCCCTTATAATCGAAAGTAAAGAACTGTTGACGTTATCGACTTATTAATCCCTGCAGTAAAGTTATAAAATTATCTGCCGGTACCTACGGAATTATAGCTTGTTCACTAAGCTTTTATAAAAATACTCAATTTTCATTATATATCTCATCAAGGTAACATTATATCAAATAAATATACACAATTAAACATAATTTCATTAGTCATTACAGCTTTTCTTTTCAGTTAATCCTTTATCTTTATAGTATTTGTATAAGACCTAAATAATACCGTAAAAGTAACGTAACAGCTTATACATTAAATATCCCGCAACTGCGCAAGGATTAGACAGTACAAGGAGAAGTAAAGTACTAGGACGTAAAGACTGAAAAGAAGTACCTAATTTAATTTATTTATGATATACTTACTCATAATTTATACGGCAACAATAAATGCAAGCCGCAAACACACATACACTCGCACATGACACAAATAAAATTACGGATATTATCACACCTTGGAATACTTTTTGAACCTCCAAACGTACTTTATCTGAAATAGAAGCAACACCGTAGTTTTAAAGATCTAAGCATACATAGGGGAAACAGACAGCGGGACGACTTTGTTTTATACTATGTAGTGATTTATCAACCATTTTAATAATTTTATTATTTATATTATTGATATATTTTATTTACTTCATTCATTATCAATCATCAATTAATTTCATTCTTTTTATTAGCCGTAAAATTTTTTTGAAACAGATTTACAAGTATCACCATCCATTCTTCCTTATATGACATATTAATTATATTCAATTTAATTTATTTCAATTGCTATCTATTCTAAGATCGCATTTAAGCTATATTGCTATATACTACGTATTTGAAATAATATCAATAAACAGAAACCAAATATGTAATATAAAACTGTATAGTAAAAATAAACTCCTACCAACATTGACATTAACCGCTATTATCATTTATATATTACCCTGGGTACGGCTTTGAATCCTGTACAGACAAAAAAAAAAGTGTACTTCTGAGTCGCGTTACTGCCGCTTTTATTTATTTTATGATTACGCAATTGCTCGCGACATAAGGATTATTAAATAAAACTGAAGTCGTTCCTAAATAAGTTAACCCTTACCTTGTACATCATATTTTGATGTCAAATTTTTCAAGAGCAATTTCATGTTTATTACGCATTCGTGCATCGTATCATTGTAGAACGAGCCACTGAAAATAAAAACAATGTATTCTTTACATTCCTATTTTAATAATTATCATATTATGGAACTATTACAATCTCGTGCTCAATGATGAAGGAAATCTACTTAGGAAATCGGTATTTAAAAAATATATAAAAACTAGCTGCTGCCCGCGACTACGTCTACGTAGAATAGGCTGAAGGGGTACTTATAATATTAGTAAGCAAGGAAGGATTGGTAAGGCAAGAAGGATATTCTATATGTAAAGCCCGCCAATCCGCATTGCATCTAGACCCTTCGTACAGATAAGACTTAGCCAGAAGGAGAACATAAACATGCCATTATTTTCTGTACAAATAAAAATGACTAAGTGAAGAATCTATAAATGCGTTTCCCGAGGAGCTGTGTCATACGTTAGGGCCGCGTGGGGAGAGGAATGTTGGTATTACGATTTTCCTTACCCTTCGCATACGAAACGTGGCGATTGACAAAACCACATACTAGGTCTGCTGAGGGCTGGAAGGCTTGCTGCTTATTGGCACAGGCTTTCCTGGCTTATCGCAACTAGTCATGGCGGACTCGGGAGAGTTCATTGACCGTATAAAAGGGGCCGAGTAGGAAGGCGTGCTGAATATTCCAGCGTGCCCTACCAGGAGGAGAGGGAACTTGATCCCTAAGGGTCTGCTGAGGCAGTCAGCGATGGCGGGGTCGCGGGAGTGTGCGAAAATGAACGAATGAATGAACGTGGTACCTAATTCAATACTTAAGTATTAGTAACAGTATTTCATAATTAACTCACACAATGTTATTGCATTCTATATTTTCGGCAACACAATCGCCCATTTCGCCGCAATCTGGTGCAATTGGCTAAAAGAGAAACAATTCTTAATACTTTATAGCTGTAATGTTCAACAAAATGCTTAATTTTGTACGTACGTTTTCATCACTTGAAGTTGCTGCATCTAAAAATAATACGCGCTTTTTATTAACGTATACATAGTATTTATATAAATTGATGATTAAGAAATAAATAAGGCTCTTACGTGCAGCTAACATGAAATACATTAACAGTTTCAGCATGTTTCTTTGACCGTAACCAAAAGTCATATATTCATAATTTTTTTGTGCTAGCTCTCAGTTAAAATTTCTTTACCACACTCTAGACGGGTAAAATTAACATTATCTACACTCCACACCTCCAATTGTATGAATGCAAGTAATGGAAAAATAAGGACAAAACACAATTAAAATTGTTGCACTGGTAATCCAAATCTAAACAAAACTGAACATCTATTTGTGCTGTAACTATACTAAAATAGTTTGACCTCGTTCCAATAATAATCATTTCAGACGAATGTAAATTGGTCTATCGTTGTGTGAAAAAACCTCAAATTAATTTGATTTAATTTTCCTTATTATTATTACAAGATTGAAATCATAACTATAATTTCATGGATAAAATAAAAATAATATTAATTCTAATCTAAGTCTAGTCTAAGTAAAATTCGGAGACTTATGAGTCATTATAAATATTTTATAGGCTACCTAAATAATTTACTTTATTTTATTTTTGTTGAATGCCTTTTATTATATATTTTAGTTTCAATTTTAATGATTAAAAAAAGCCTTACAGATTAACACACTATTTATATTTTCTGTAAAAAAAATAGACTAAAAGCAAAAAAGAATTAAGAGAGAGAATAAATTGTGTATTAAGAATATTTTGTGTATTAAAATGATTAATTGTATTAAATTTATTTAAAAAAATGAACAACATAGTATTATTTGATTGCAAGTTATTTTTTTACTTATCTGTGGTTCTCATCGTATGACGTATCGTTTGCCGCACTGATGGAGATGCGTGCGAGTGCGAGTGTGAGGGGCGAATTGAGTCGAGCCTTCAAAAAACCAGTTTATTTACTGACCACACTCGGTCGGTCGGATTGTGAGACGCGGTAAAAGTTAATACGTTTCGTGTATTTCACTTTTACATCCGAATTCCCTCGAATATTAACAGTGTAAATTCGAAACTTTACTATTTTTGCTTTGTATTGTTTTTTTTTTTGAAAAACAATAGAAAAATTCCTATGTAGTATGTGAGCGAGACAAATATTTTACCTTTGGAGGTGTGTCGCTGTGGTTCAAATTTCGAATCTCGAGTGAACTTTTGTGCATTCACGTGAATACTGGTGTTTTGTTGCAAGCATTTAACCGTGACAAAAGAAATGATATTAGTTCGCAAATTGTTAAAATCGTTCTTGTTTTGCATACTTGAATGAACTTCGTGTGACAATTTTCTAGTCTAAACTGAGGAAACGTGAGTAAAAGTTATTTTCTTAATTTTCGATACACCAGTTTGTTGCTCATAAAATATTAAAATTTTTTTTTTGCTTATAATGTCACGACAAAATGATTCTAATAAGAGTATTGTTTACCATTAACACTATCCAGTCAACCATTATTCTTATTAGGCCCTTTTAGTCTTCTTAATGTTAATAAAAAGTTGCAAAAAATTATTTTAATCTTCAATAAATAGCTTCTCAAATAAACTATGGTACTTTTTAACAATATTAATAATGTGGTTAATAAAATATAATAACTTGGTATAAAATTGCCAGACCGATTCCACTGTCTTATGGTGCAATTGGTCAGGTAATTTGATACAAGTAAGATATAACATGTTATTATAAATTGTGCAGTAATTTTTGGAGTAAAATATCATTCATATTAAAGCTGGGCTTAGTGCCTCAATTACTTATTAAATTTATTAATATGATTTTTCATTTGGTCTTTTCCTTTTTCCTTTGTGTTAATGTTGTTTTTTATTTTCAGATGTGTAGTACAAATTTGAAAACTCAGAGGACAGTAACAACACATTCCTGATGAATAGAACATTCCATAAGTTTGGCCAAGTCATGCAGCCATGGCAAGTGGGAAGGTTCTATATTCAATAGCTGTGGTTGTTCTCGGCTTTATTTGTTTTATTGTTGGAGCGATTGCTGTTGGCCTACCGACATGGGGCTACTTTTATAGCTGTGAGTTGTCTTTGTGTCATTTGTAATCACACTAATAAATCCATATAAAATTGTACATTATTATTACATTTTGGCTTTTCCATATATAACAAAATATTCCCAAACTAAATCTTTTAATTTTGTAATAACAAAAGTCAATTATTAAATCACTAATCACAAAGCACCAACTTAATTTTATTGTTATATGTGGTATTATATCTTGGCCTGACAGATACAGTATTTTGCAACCCCTTCTATTAGAGGACATTCTAATCACACTTGCAATAGGCTTGTGGTGCACGTAGATGCATATCAACATCAACATAATTCTTTCAGATGATTCTGACATTGATCTCTCCGTGCAGTCATATTATTGTGAGTATTCCATTTAAAACTACACTAGGCTTTGTGATTGCACATATGTCATATATCAGTGGATGGAGAATTCATATATTGCATAAGCACATAATCATTTTTTATGATAAAAGATGGCAAGCGAGCTGGTGGTTCACCTGTTGTTGAGTGATAACAGCTGCCCATGGAGATTTGCATCACCTTAAGGGTTTCACATCGGTTGCCAGCTTTTGATAAAGTGGGCGGTGGATACCTCACCAGACTAAATGCAGAAGTGAAACACTTCCTATTCACACTGGTTTTCTGTGAGGTTGTGGTACTTCCCTGGACAGACCTGCCCATTCATGCCACAGCAAAGACTGTTCTGTGGCCCTACCACAGTTATATATAGGATTGAATTGTTTGATGATACTGTAAACTTGTATTTACCATACTACTCCATGTGCAATACACTTTATTTATGATAAACATTGTGTTCAGTGTATGAATGTTGAAAAGTGGATAGATTTGGGTAGTGAAGCACATTTAAATTTGTCCTTACTAGTGATTGCTGAATATATTTGATGGATTGATAAATATTTAATTATATTGTATGATAAAGTTTCTTTCCTCAGGCCTTATTTTCTATGGGTTTCAATATGCGTAGATAGAAGTTTAATTTAAACTTCTTAGATAGAATTTAAATTAAACTTCTAATAATAATAATTGCATATTTATTATCTTATATTATATCTTAGTAATAATAGTGATATAAACTGTGAATTACACTATTAAAAGCTGTCCAAATTTTCAGTTTTAAAAGCTATCCCATTACTCTATTTTTCTATTGTCATTGACTATATTCTTTTTTAAACTTTAAAATTATCTGCTTGAGCAAAAGAATAATTTTAGTGGCTATGTTTTTTATAGGCATTTGTATATTTTATTAAATATTTTTATGTAAAGCCCTCCTATTTTAATAATAATAAATCCTTGTTTATTCCTCGATAAAATTACATAATTTGATATTTAATACAATTGAAGAATTTGAAATAAAATAAATTAATAATAATAAAAAATCAACATTTGTTAAAATTAATAAAACGCAAAAAAAATACATGCAAACAAATCAGTATTATTAAGGACCTCTACAGACTAAAGGCCTTCTACATTTTTCTCCATGTATCTCTATCTATTGCTATTTCCACCCAGTCATTTCTCACCATTTTTAGCATTCTGTCGAGCCATATCTCAAATTTATTCAATAAATTTAAAATATTACAATTTTCTCTAAAAAAAATTTACTTTATACAATGTATACCATATAAAACCAAAGCTTTAGTATAATTAATTATAAAAAATCATATAAAAAGTTAACTTGTAATCTATAATTAACTATTTTTTATGAAAAATATAGCTAATGATATTTCAAGAAGTAAATGTTATAACAATATTGCTAATTGGAATTTGAAAAATCATTAAATGTAAATTAAGACTATGTCACTCAGTTAATGTTATAAAACTAAATGTTCATAATTAGAGTAACAATTTTTATTAAATGTTTTAAATTGCGTAAATACAAAACACGCCTTTTTTAAAGCCGATAAAACTGGTGGTTGTATAAGTTATTTAAAATCATTGATAACTAGAGTCAGTGAGAGAATTCCAACCGGTTTAATATATATATACCAAAGTCTACCTTCATGGCACTAAAGATTCATCATCATTATCATTTCAGCCCTGTCTGAATCCACTGCTGATTGTAGACCCCAAAAACCGCCACAAAGCTCGATGCTAAGCCACATGCATCCATCGACTTCCCGCACACTTGCACAGACACCTTAGATTACTTTTATTTTAATTATGTGTTGTTGTGAACATATCCGAAATACATAATACGACCATCCGCCCCGGCTTTGCATGACTCGGTAGCGCCGTAACAAAGCTATTGGCTTCGGCGTCGGGGGTCGTGGGCTCGATTCCCACACGGGACAAGTATTCGTGACATACTACACAGATAATTGTTCCGGACCTGGGTGTCTGTTTCTCAAAGAGGGTTGACGTCAGGCAGGCGGCCGATCGTAAAAAATATGGCCGAATCCGCTTACAACGTTATTCATATGTTGTCGCGACCCCACCTGTATGGGCAGGAGGCGATGATGAATGCCATAAAATAGAAACAGACAAGCATAAAATGTTACTTTTTTATTTCCCCGGTTAATAATATCTGTCAGAGTTTGCCTGATTGCAGTGGAAGTAAATCCTGCCTGTCGGTAAAGCTGGTGGAGTTGGCCTTGAAATAAACCACATTTTAGACGCTATTAAATTTATTTTCTTGTGTACAGCCTTTAGTTGCACGTCTATGCGAGAGAGTTCAGTATACAAGTGAATAGTATATAATTGCACTGCATAAAAATAATTTTAATGTTGCCAACAATATCCCCTTAGTATCCGCGAATATCCCGTGTTCCTTGTGGTTGTCGTGTTTAAAAAGCAACGCACCGTCAGAAAAAAAACACCCCAGGCGTGTGACTAACGCGGCGGAAGTTGCACTTCCAGAGATGTTTAAAAAACGATGCACGTTGTCGCATTCTCGTTTCGAACACTTTCTAGAATGTTTAGAAATTAAACAGTGCAATTTTCGTTAATATCCCTCTGGGCTTTTCTTATTTTTTTTTTGATATTCCATTTTTGAACGTTTCAGCTTGTTTAAAACTTATCAGCGAATGATCTGCTTTCCTTAACTGCATTTTCCTGTCGATAACTAGATTTGTTAGCTTATTTTAAAACTTTCAGCCTTCACACCGACGCGCTAGAAAAGTCGACGATCAACTATTTTCCATTTACTTTCTATAAGCATTGCGTCAGTTTTTTTCTGTTTGTGTGATGTATCGTTACTTTTCTTCATTTTTAAAGCTATTCTTTGGCACGTTTGAAAAAAAAATATGAGAGTAAAATTTTTGCGTTGCGCGCGCACACCGACAGCTAAAAAGCAACATGATAATGTTGGTCGCTTTGACGAACTTCACGTAATTACCGTGGCAACCAATAATAACTTTCTAGTAATTTACCCATAATCCCAAGTTATTTAATTATACCATTATGAATTGCATTTAATGTCTTTTTCAAACTTTCTTTAACAAACGAAAAGTACTGGAACAGGGTATAACATTTTTAGTTCCTTTTTATTACGCTTAAGAAATATAACTTCCTATGTAATAAATACTTTTTTTATAGATACATACATACTTTACATTAGAGTTTAGAGGAGATACGTAAGCCCTTTCAAAAATTTTCACCGTTTATTTATTAATATATCACATTTGCAAAGTATTTTCGCAAACTCTTATTTTAACGGATTTTTGACGTTGAATTGAATACTACTGACTGACTGTTTATAACGCGAAGCTATGAATTGTGCCTCTTATTGGTGTCGATAACAATAGAAATTGCAGATTTATTTCATCCTGATAAGAAAATTATAATAAAATTTTCAATAAAATCCTATTGAATGCTTTTTCCTTTTCGTTGAAGAATTGAAGAATGGAAATTCTTAGACAAAAGACGCAGTGCTATGTGACACAACTAGAGCATTGTTATCGATCCAGCACGAAGACAAAGGTCTTATAAAAGCGTTTTAAGCATTGATAAACACATGTTTAAAACTCATTGGTTTTAAATGACTCTCCTTAGAAATGTTCTGATGTTACGTTAAACATTTTTTAAACATTCTCTATTAATCAAGCGACCCAAATGATGAAATTTAAACTCAAAAGAACCAGTCACAAACTTAACCTAATTAATTGTTTATGTTGCCTGGCTATCAACGGATTAATCACTTTGATTTTTGTACCGTATGGAATGGATCACATAAAGCTTGAACACACCGATCGTCACACAAACCGAATCATTATTTACGCATAACTGTAAACTGACGATACGATTTTTTTTATGTTTGGGGCAATGATATTTTATGTTAGATACTTTATACGCATACAAAAGTACCGGTCGATAGTGTTCCTATTTCCAAATAGAGTGACAGCACACACATTTACACGTTTCGGTCGAATAAAGATAGCGTAATTAAAACAATAAGAAAAAAGAGGACGACAAGTGTTTGTCACTTTTGCATAAGTGTATAAAAAATCTCGAGGTGCATCCGTATTTCTCGTATTAGTACTAGTAATACGGGGTATTAAACTTATTTGCTGCCCCTTTCTTTGTTGGCTACGAAACCTTCCCAATTGAGACGTTTTCGTGGCTTCACTCAGGGCGCGTTAACAACTTAGTATAAAAAATCATTGCCTTGAGCGATTTTAAAAGTTATAACGACATAGTTCGATACAAATGTTAATATGTTTTGCTGTTGAATGTCAATCCAATAGAATGAAGTTAAAGTATGTATGTAGCGGTAGTTAACCCTAATTACCAGCAGTTGTTAACGATTTATTTCGTATGAAATTGGTATACGTTTTCGTGAGATAATCGTGTTAGCAATAGATAAATTATTCACACAAGACTGCAGTCGGGAAGAATAAGCGTTGGGCGCTTTGTAAAACGGCGAAAGCCTTATACGGGAATACCAAAGAAAGCGGAAAATTGAGGTTTGAACTACATAGCGGGCCTTTTGCTATTATGTGTCTAGTGATCGTAATGGATGAGGATAAAACCAGTCCCAAAGGGCAAAGCACGTAAAGGCAGCAGAAGACTGGCTTACTTCCTCATTAATATTACCAAAGGACTAAACTATTGCTTGCGATAATTATTCGAGATTATATAAATAAAGCCGGACACTGAGCGGTGTTCAATGTACAGTTTACTCGAGCAACCTGAGTTCGATCCCCGGTGCCGACACCATTGAAATTTCTAATCTTAAGTGATGAGTTAACACGTTCTCGGCGGTGAAGGAAAACGTGAGAAAACCTACATATTTTTCGAAAAACAACAAAAAAAATAATTCGAAGATATGTGAAGTACATCAATCCGCAGTGGGGCCACGTGGTGGCCTTTGGCTTGATAACCCCTCTGTACAGAGTAGGCCT